GGGAAAGAAGTCTGGACTTGGCTTTTTATTTTTTTAACGTTTTGAGGATTTGAGAATGTATGTGTCCCTCCTGTATGCAGAGTAAAGAGGGTGGCCACATTTGCAGGTGATTGGAAGTCTCATTGAGAATGAAAGGCAATTAAGAAAGGAATGTAGGGCTTCCCTGGTGACGCACTGGTTGAGAGTCCGCCTGCCGATGCAGGGGACGCGGGTTTGTGCCCCGTTCTGGGAAGATCCCACATGCCACGGAGCGGCTGGGCCCGTGAGCCATGGCCGCTGAGCCTGTGCGTCCGGAGCCTGTGCTCCGCAACGGGACAGGCCCCAGCGGTGAAAGGCCCGCGTACTGAAAAAAAAAAAAAGAAAAAAGAAAAAAGAAAGGAATGTAGTGAGAGTGCACATGTGAAGTAGAGCAGAAAGAAAAAAAGATCTTTTTTGGTTGGGGGAAGAGGCCACAAGAGGAGGTGAGACGAGAGCGTGTCTTGGAGGATTGAGAGAATGGGGTTAGACAAAGAGGAGGAGAAACGGCATTTCAAGTTGGGGGTGGGGTGAGGGATTTGGGGTTTTTGCCTGCAGGCATTAGGGCAGTCATTGATGTTTTTTTTTAATTATTTTTTTAATGTTTATGTATGTATTTATTTTGGCTGCGCTGGGTCTTAGTTGCGGCACGCGGGATCTTTAGTTGCGGCATGCATGTGGGATCTAGTTCCCCGACCAGAAATCGAACCCAGCCCCCTGCATTGGGAGCGTGGAGTCTTACCCACTGGACCACCAGGGAAGTCCCCATTGATGGTTTTGTAAGAGGGTAACAAGTGGTAATGAGCATGATGACTCAAGGTGGAGTGTGATGAAGGAAAGTCTGTGGATAGGGAGACCATATAGGGAATTTGCTAGACTGAAGCTCCGTGAGACATGGACTGGGTCTTTGTTCATCATTGTGCCTGACCCTAATAAATACATATCTCTTGAAATGATGACTGAGTCTTTGTAGTGCACCAGGGGCTAAGTGATAAAGGCCTTAGACTAGGATGATAATTGCGGACATAGGGTTACAGGGGGAAGCAAAGAAACAGTCAGAAATGCCCCTGAAGTTTGGAGCAGGAGTGACTGGAAAGAAGGAGCCATAAGCAGGAAAGTCTGGAGGGGAGGTGCCCATGATTTCATTGAACGTATACTGACCTTGAGGTGGCAAGAGGACATCCGTGTTGAAATGTCCAGCAGGCTCAGGAAGGTCAGCTGTGGACAGCAGTGTGGGGTTTGCCATTTGGTAGCTTTGTGACCTTAGGGAAATTAGTTAACCTCTCTGAGCCTCAGTTTCTTCACCTACAGAAAGGAGAGGATAATAATATCTATCTCACAGGACTATTGTGAATAATAAATGAGGCTGTGACTATAAAGCGTCAGAGTGATTGGCACATGGTATTTACCAAATGAGTATTATGGATGTCACCGTCGTCAAGGGAGTGATTTGCAAAGTTGATACCTGAACTTGAGGGTGACTGGTTTACATGTGAGAGGGTAGAGAGAGAAAGAGGATTAAAGACTGAATTTTGAGGAATGTTAGAAAATGAAAGGAGGAAGAAATCCAAGAAGAGTCAGAGAAGAAGCGGCCAATAAGATAGATCCTGGATTTGTAATGTGGAAACCAGACAAGTAGAGAGTTTTCCAGGCAAGAGGGGGTGTCCTCTTCGCTGGTGGCCATCCAAAAGGTGCTATTTGAGTATGACCCCATTACAGTAACCCAGAAAACCTACCAAAGAAATCTTCATCTCTGTGTTTGTTTTTAGGATTTGTCTTGGGAGGTGCATTTGGGGTGTTCACTGCTGGCATTGATACCAATGTGGGCTTTGACCCTAAGGATCCTTACCGCACGCCTACAGCAAAAGAAGTTCTTAAAGACATGGGGCAGAGAGGAATGTCCTACGCCAAAAATTTTGCCATCGTGGGCGCCATGTTTTCTTGCACTGAGTGTTTGGTAGAATCTGTAAGTGTCCCTGCCTTCTGAGAAAGCCTTGCCTGTTTCCATCTTGGGACTTCTCAAGAGAAATACTCTTAATGCTACTAGAAAGCAGGTCAGAAATGTCCAATACTTGCTAGATTAAATTTCCATTAAATAGTCCCTAATGTAAACTTTTTGTGCGTTTATGATTTGGGCTTGCATTATTTTTTACTTGTTTTTGTAGGCTAGAAGTTGGTTAATGAGTTTATTTTATTTATTTTTTGGCTGCACCGCACTGCTTGCAGGATCTTGGTTCCCCAACCAGGGATTGAAGCCGGGCTCCCCGCAGGGGAAGCACGGAGTCCTCACCACTGGACTGCCAGGGAATTCCCAGTTAATGATTTTAAACAGAATACTTACTGGGGAACTGAGAAGAGATTTTGATTACTTCTCAAATGTTACACTTGGTTTCAGCGCTCTGGTACCACCTGCAGGAAGCATTTATGAACACATTCAAATTTTAGGAGCTCTACTTTTGAAAGGGAAAAAGATAGGCTTCCTTTGGGGAGGGACTAAATTAGCCAGCCAGAAACCCCATCTTTTTTTCCCTTAATCATCTTGTCTGGCTTGTTTCTTTGGCTCTGAACTGCTTTTCTCCACCCACAGTACCGGGGAAAATCAGATTGGAAGAACAGTGTCATCAGTGGCTGCATCACTGGAGGAGCCATTGGTTTCAGAGGTTAGTAAACAGTTCTCAGATGGTTTTCTTTGTGGCCTTGGACGACATGCTGAAGTTGACATTTCTAAACATATGAGCATTCCAAGGACAGCCCAAGGCATATGTGGACACTTGATATTCTTCCCTTCTGACAAGTAAATCACGTTTGCTTCTGTGTTAACTCGGTTTTGGAAACTTCTAGTATCTAGATCAGGGTTTCTGATGCTTGGCATTGTTGACATTTTAGACCAGATAAATGTTTGCTAGGGGGAGGGGGTGGCTGTCCTGTGCATGGTAGGATGTATAGCAGCATCCCTGGCCTCTACCCCCTAGATGCTAGTAGCATCCTTTAGTGGTGACAAGTAAAAGTGTCTCCAGACATTGCCAAATGTCCCCTGGGGAACAAAGTCACCCCCAGGTGAGAACCACAGAGAGATCTAGATTTATCTTAGAAAAAAGAACTGCACCCATCTTGAACATACGGGAAGAACTTCCTCATAATATGCAGGCGTGTGTTGCTATGCGGGGAAAGTACAGAAGCATAGCTGGGCCCCATTTGTCCAAATAGCAGGCTCTGCTGAAATTTCAGTTCCATGCATTGCAAACAGACATCTTTCTTCGTACCATACAACTGTCATTTTCATTTGTATATAAGTTATCACGGTAATAGGGTTCTTAGATTTCTATCCCTTGAAAGCCAAATATAGGTATTCTAGAGATGTTGGATTATCATCTATAGACAACAAAGAAAAAAACCGGTTCCCTGCCACTTCTCCGTGGTGGTGTGTCTGTCAAGAGTGTGGTGCAGGGCGTCAGTGACAGGGCGTTCTTAACAGTGTACATTGCTGCGCCGCTCTCCATCTGCTGTGCCCGGACTTATCCAAAGCAAAAAGCCTTTTTTCTCATTTTCTGAGAGGCAGGATAATTTGCTATCATTAAAACCTGATTTTCCTCCTCAAACAGCCATTTGTGATTTATGGAGTAACTTCCCCTTTGGTCTTCCCATGTCTCAGCTTTGTCAGGGCCTTTGAGAGGCTCAGCTCCCTGTAGGATTGCTTTGATCACCTTCCCAGGAATTTATTCCATAAACAAATCAGGGTACAGGCCATATGCTTTCACTTGATTCCAAGGGCTGGTTCTCTTAACCAGTTTCCTGCCTGTGAGGGGCTATTTTCATGAGGCTGGAAATAGTAATTCTTTAGAATGAGAAAAGTTAAATGAACGTACAGTTAGATAAAAGCACACTGGATCAGATCGTGTGCACAGCTTCACTGAAGTCTTCCAGCTCTCTGCTAGGTTGAATGATTTAGAACACGTACGCCGGTTTCTTTGCATCTGCGGGTACCCAAACTTTTCCTGAGTGCAGCCTGACCCAGCTTCTGTCACCACAGGTAATGTCATTTGTGTTTGCTTTACAGCTGGCTTAAAGGCTGGGGTCATTGGTTGTGGAGGTTTTGCTGCTTTCTCTGCTGCGATCGATTATTACCTACGGTGAGAGCACTTGCCTCCAGGGAAGGATGATGCCAGCCCAGGATCAGAGCTGTTCTGTGTAGGGCAGTTTCTGCACCATTCCGGGGCACTTGCTTCAGAGACTGAAGACATTTGTTTTCCCTCACATAGTTGGTGTCGTGAGGGAGCTGCCTGGCTGCAATCTGCTACCTCTGAGCAGCCACGCTCTCTGCTCCTGGACTCCAGCCAGGCTGTGGGGGGCTGTGCCACGCCAGCCTCTCTCTTTCGGGCAGATCAGGAGTCAGCGTGTTGACCTGTAGGAATTGAGTTCCGCAGACGTTCAGTCCTGACCACAATTGGCCCTCTGGTTGTTTGGTGCCGTGGGAACGGAGGGGACTTTACATATACCCGGGAAGCTGTTCTACCTTGGACCTCCATGCCGTCATCCATCTCACACATTGGAGCAGGGCAAAGTGAATTTATGCCATCCGACCAATGATGTCATTTTGTTTAGTGTTCTGCTGTCCTTGTTGAAAAACATATATATATATATATATATATATATATATATATATAATGTATGTATATATATTACAGTTTAAAAGGTTGGCTTATTTTTATTTTCAAATTCCACAATTCCCAAAAATGGTTCCAGGTGCCCAATGATTGAACATACACAGGGAAAGCGTGATGAGCAAACTCCTGAGAAGTTTGGGAATGTTAGGTTCCCAGGATCTGCAGAGTAGCGTTATCCTCACTGAGATTGTTACATTGGCCAGGGCCTTCCCCTAAAGAAGCCCAGCCTAGCCATGTTCTAGGATGCGTTGAAATTCCGCGCATAACCCCTGCTGGCCTCTTCTAAAAAATCCCTCCTGTGGGCTGGCCAATGGGAATGCCTGTGGTCTAAACCACACACTGGTGTTCTGCTCTGACCACCAGACCAGGCCCGGCTCAAGGACACAGTGTGTGAAGGGTCCTGCTCTGGTCCTCCTGGTGACTGAGTCACAGCAGCCACTGGTTATGATCAGACCGAGTTGAGGAGCTGTTCACCGCTACCATTTTTCTCTGGTGTCAGTGTTTTTCTTTCTTCCTTAAACGTATTAGTGTTTTTGACTTGACCTGGTAGCCTTTTTTCTGACAGTAGCAGCTCAGCCTAATTCTGTGCCATATGCAAAGAAATAGCCTTTTTCAATTGGGATCTACCACAGATGCTGCTTTACTCGGGTGCTTTGGTGCTGGGGTGAAGATGAACTCGGGACAGGCAGGTAGCTTGGTGGGGGCCGTGTAATTCCAGCCACCTTAAGCCAGTGGTAACGTCTCCTTTATTCTACCTTTGCCTTTTTGCCTTTTTTTGGCTTTCTGCCCCCTTGTCTGCTGTCTTCCAGCTCACCCACCCTTAGCCAGAATTCAGACTCAGCTGAACCATCCAGACATCCTGAGTGAGTGTGTGTGTGAGAGATAATGTCAGACTCAGCTGGTAACACCTTCCTCTGGCCATGTCTGCTGTTGCCTTTGGAATGAGTGAGCTAGTACACAAGACTCATGTCTTTCTATGGGGAATTCTATAGAATGCCTGTCCCAGTCTCAGTCACGAGGCTTCACTGCTGCTAGGCTGGCTGGAGTATCCTCACAGGTCAGAGAACAAATGTAGGAGTGTTTCCTCTACCGTCCGTAAGTAAGTCGCCTATAAGCACTTGGAGCAAGAGTAGATACTCCTGCCCTGGCACCTGTTACAGCGCTAGAGGCCCAGCATCTTCTACCACCCAGTCTAGTGCGTGGGGTCAAGTACACTGACTGACTGAGTACAGGAAACTGCCCTCACGACTGCCTTGAAAAAGATGAGCCCCGGGCTGTCAGTAGCCATCAGTTCAATAAGCCAAGCATTGTCCACGTTGACTATTCAATCAAGAGAGGAGATGAACAGTTTCCTGTTTTAGATGGCTAAGGAGGCAGTATGAGCTCATAAACCAAACACCAATTTTCAGAGACATCTGTTCCTGATCTCCAGAATAAACACAGTGTCCAGTGGCTTAGGCTGGTGGGAGCCTACATTAACCCCACTAGCTCTCTTACAGGGAGGATGGGCCTCTAGGGGATCCAGCCTCTCCAACAAGCAGATGAGGACAAAAGGCTGCCCCAAAGACCTGCTACTTCCAAGGAAAATGGAGAGAAAAGTTTACATAAAATAAGCCTCCACTTGAATGGACAACTTCCTGCCATCTCCCTGAGGCATACTGATGGCCACATCCCTGGTGGGGCAGTTGTATTTCATGAAAAGAACCGGCTGGTGACTGAGGTGGAGGCGTTGGTGAAAGAGCAAGGATGGGGCGCGGGCTCATCGCCCCCCAAAACCGCCACGCCACAGTCTCCACAGGCCGAAGGGAAGCTCAAGGGGGAGTTCACTAGGTAAACAGATTCTTGGAAGCACATCTGGATGCAGCTGGAAGAGTTAAATATTTAGATTGGTGGTCTTCCCTGGACTCCTGAGAACACAAACGTCCACACCACAGGGCTGAGTTGTGTGCAAATGTTGGGGCTTTGCATTTTTTTTATTAACATTTTCCTCTCACGTGGTTTACATCAATTTATAATCTACGTAAGTTGAAACAGAACATAGACCAAAGAAAAATATATCCTTACCAACTTATTAAAGTCAAATATTAATGAAGTGTCCCATCCTACCTGTATCAGCAAACACCGGCAGCCCACAGCCGTTGCAAGGACAGGCATGCGGGATTCCTGTAGCCTGTCTGATGGGCCTCTGTTGGCACAGCCTGCCCTGCTGGGCACAGTGGCTGGGGCTTCTGGGCTGCACAGTCCCTGTCTCGTAGGAGAACCCACGGGCTATTTCCTTGGTGCGGCTCAGTCCAGGTCTGGTACCCGCCCCTCCCTACTCTTGGGGGTGGAATTTATAAATATTCTGAGCCTTTTGCATTTCTCAGCCCTTCCGGCCTTCCTCCCATTCTCATTGCCTAAGTGAGGTTGGGGGGGCTGCAGTAGCTACCTGATGCTGAGAAGCAAACCTCCCTTGTTTTGGGGGGGTGGGAGGCACCCATTTGGGGCTGTAAATAGCTCTAGCTGGGCCTCCAGTTCATTCCAGTCAATGGCTGTGGAAGCAAGAGCCTTCCATGCCACATACCAGCTCCTGAGTGCCGAGCAGACTCCAGGGATGATCAGACACTGGGGATCTTTAGACTCAAGCGGCCTTCTTTCTCTACCCGCTATCTCAGAGAGCGGGGCTCCTTGCTAAGCTGCTAGCAGGCAGCTAGAGGATCAGTATTGCCCTCCTCTGAGGCACCTCTTTCCTCCGATGTGCACAGAATGTGTACCGTTCTGCCCATGATTGGGCAACAGGTGTAAACAAGATGAGAAAGGGCCCTTCCTCTCACTGAGCAAGTGCTACGGCTTTAGGGCCCTAAACCCTTCTTTAAAACAGCTCTGAGCTCAAGCTAGGCGAGCTCTTCTCTCCAATCCTGAGGGCCTAGAATCGAGTCTCTGCCACATAGGAGAGCCAGGGAGCTGTGTTCTGCAGCCCGGGAGTATCTGCCTTCCCAGGCTAACTGCCAGAGGCCGGCAGCCCCTGCTCAGGTGGGAAGAAATTGCACTTTGCGGGTACTTCTCACTCCTTTCCAGTGCTGAGCAGCGGGCCTCGGTGTTGGGATCGGAACCTGCTGATCCCCTACTCTGAAGCAGAGCGTCCACAACGAGGGTCCCCTGCAAAACCCAGTCCCGAGAGAGGCAGGTACCTGTGACTCCTCATTCTTCCCCAGCTCCTGGAGTTTCCCCGAGTTCACCCGCAAGGCTGCATCTAGAAGCCGGGGGTGGAAGGCAGCACCACGACAGCTGGCTAGCTGGACCGTGCCTGCCTTTCCCAGGGCCTGGAGCACACGTGGCCGTGGGGGCTGCCCCTGGCAGTGCTTGGCTGTGGAGAAAGTGTAAACCCTAAGGCAAAGGTGCCACGAGGTACGGGAGGCACCGGGAAGGACTAGCCCTCCTGGACAGAACCTGCCTGTTTCTGGACACCTGCTTCAGCCATAGTATCTGCCCTCCCAGAAGCCCAGCTCCACGGAGAAAAGCCACAACTGCTTGCTGCCGAGAGCCTCTTTCCCCCCAGCCCAGGACACCCAGCGCTCCCTGGCGCTCCTCTCAACGTCCCACCTGTCCTTTTTCCTCGGCGGCCTGACCCTCCCACCTCCCCCAATTCTTTCCTGACCCTCTGGCTACCTTGATAGCAGGTCACTTGTGAGTCTTGTGTACTCAAAGGAAACAGAACACCAAGGGAAAAGGAACTGAAAAGCAAAAGAAACAGTCAAAGATGCCTCACTGGTACTGGAGACAGAACAGATAAACCCAGAAATGGAGGTTCTCAGGTGGAAAAATCCCAGAAATCCGCTCTCCAGCCTGTGCTAAGCTGAGGATTAGTGTGAGTCTGTCTCCTTGTCCAACATTTGCACAGGCGGCAAGGCAAGCAGGTGCGCTTCCGCAGGCAGAGGGCAAGGAGAGGCAGGCGGCGGCACGGCACGGGCCACCACTGCCACCGCCGCCCAGGGCCTCCTCAGAGCTTTCGAGGCGCTGGATCAAAAACCAAGGCTGCACATGCATGCAGGCAGGCTGGGAGGGAGGAGGCTGCCAGGAGACTGCGGTCTGGGGGCAGGGCCAAGAGGGGAGAAGCTGGCAGCAGTCACAGCGCGCAAAATAAAGGCCCTTGGACCGGACTCAGGAGGAAAGAAAGTGTTGGAGGAAATGAAAGAACAAAGCAGGCTGTCTGTGTGCCCACACCGGGTCGGTCACTACCTTTCCTGCATGACAAGTAGACGTAAAACAATTCCCAAACAGCACGGAGCATTAGACACAACTAGAGGAACAGAGGGCAGAGCCCGGGGTGCGCAGCAAGGCTGGGGCCGGGTCAGCTGGCTTTGTACAAGGTGGCACAAAAGATGCACGTCTTCCAGTTCTTGGAAATCTGTGTCCCTTGGAGTCTGGAGCGCTGGGTTTGGGAGTTCTCTATCGTGGTCCTTCAAGTCTGGGTTGGGGCCCCCCCCCCCCCCC